GAGAGAGGAGGAGGAGAGAGAGAGAGGGGAGAGAGAGAAAAGGGAAGAGAGAGACGGGATGACAAGTTAGCCGCCTGCCAGTTACGTAAGAGAGAGAGGGCGAAGGAGAGTGAGAGAAGAGAGAGGGAGGGCGAGAGAAAGAAAAGGGGAAGGGAGAGAGAACTAAAGGGGAAGTGGGAAAGGAGAGAGAGGAGAGGAGAGAGAAAGGAAGAGAAAAGAGAATGGAAGATAGAGAAAGGGTGAGGAAGAGAGAGAAAGAGAATAGGGAAGGATAGAGAAAGAGTTAGGGGTTACCTAGTGCAGCCATCGAACCAGACCGGGGGTTAGGTTGGGAGTGGGGAGTTCCAAGTGGGAATTAAAAAGTTTTAGGGGTAGTGACTTGGGATAGTTTTCTCTCTTCTCTATTTTGGTGATAGGGGTAGAGACAAAAATATTGCAAACCAAGCAAACTCAAGCCAATTTTATTAATTTTTTAGCTTATGGGAGGAACCGCTTTACAGATGATCATGCAATGCTTATATAGCACACCCTTTGACAAATGGTAAATGCTTAAACTAACCCTAATTGCTTAAAATTACACTTTTATAATTTAAATTCTAATCCTATTTTTGGGAAAAATCCTATCTTGGAATTGGCAAGATGGTCCTCAAAAAGTGGCCATGGGCTATGATGATTCAGGGCTCGTTTCGGGCCCCACCGGCAACCTTCCGGCAAAAGGAATGCCACGAAAGTAATGGTCCCGACGAGGAGATCATGTTGAAATATTCTTGATCCTCAAATCGAAGTGTTGAGCTGTTGATTAAATCCAATAAAATATGGGAAATTTGTGATCTTAGATCTTAGGTCTTGTCCATTCCTTGACCTTTTTGTTCGATCTTTCCATCTTAGAATGATAGGGAAGCCGCCATGATCGTTTTGTAACAAGAATGACTCAATTTGATGGGTGGACCACCACTTTTTGAATTGGCAAAGTTGCCAGAATATGGAGTCCAGTCGCCTAAAATTCCACTTTTTGCAACCTCAAATTATAGTATTTTCGGTCTTTTATCACATGATGTTCACCTTGGATCCAAGCCCTCAACGTCATGGTCGCAACAGACCCATTTTCAAGTTGATCGAAGGTCGGGGCTTCATCAAATGATCGTTTGATTGAAGGGATCTCTTTGTTGGAAATATCTACAACACATGAGTTTTCTTGAGCAACTTCTCTCTAGGATTTCTTCCGTCTCGGGCCGTGTCATGGGCTGTGCAATATATCAAAACATGTGTGTCGACGAGATGAAGAACCTCTTGAAATTTGGGCACGACCTAACTTAAAATGGATAAGTAATGGCCTTTTGAAGGTGATCCCAAAATCATAAGACATAGTTTTCATAAATGGAAACTAGTTCATCAAGGGTGCACCAGAATAGTGTGTAACCTACCCTTTTTTGGTCAGTTGGCAGCGTAATGGTCAAAAAGCGTTCAGGTAAGCTAAAATTTGATATTTGGGGGTTTTCAGACCTTATGAATCCAACTGAACTAGTCTGGTATTCATATGAATTACCAGTGATAGGGTTGTAGTTAAAAGGGGATTTTCAAATTGTGAGGGGTCGAATTCGAAAACTGGTTTGACGTTTGATCCACCTTAACGTTGTTGGATCGCGACGAAACTTGGCAGGTATTCTTAGAGATTCAAGTTCTACCCTCGCATAATTTCTGGGACCGATCCAACGCCTTTCAAAATTTTGCTCCAAATCAGGGTTTATTTTAACAGTGCTTCCAAAGTCCACAAGCATTTTGGCATCTACGGGCCTAGGTCGTAATTGTCTTCCTCCTTATTTACAATTGGGATAGAAGTGTCGAAAAATACTCTAAAACACCTACAACAGAACTTTTTATCTGAGTACCCTTAGAAGACGCATAGTAGTGCTTTCTCATTCATCTTGGATCTTTGTTCCTTGGCACAAGCACTAATGCCTCGAATATCTTCAAGTGTGAATAAGATATATCCTTTCCTGTCCAACCCCTCTTTGGGATTTGACTATCTAGAAGAAACAAAGGGATTGATATTTGGTAGCATGTTGTGAGGATTGCTTCACCAGAATACGACTTTGTGGTGGATCACATTCTCCTAACTCTGAGACACTTTAGCAGCTTACGTGTCTCTCTTTCCACCTTAGCGTGGAAATAATGAAAGATCACAAACACTTGATCTTTCGATTTCACCCATACCTTTCATGAAGTATTATCGATGAAGGTGACGAGGTATGATGCGCCACCAAGCGAGTCCCATGCACTCGTATTCACAACTCAATCCGAGTTGCATGATGCAATATTAATTCACCCTTCACCACAGTTTCTGACCATACCATCATCTGTAGCCACTGCAATGGTTTGCCTACCATCATCCAAGACATTGTCCTCATACCGCTCATTCTTGAGCTTCCGACAATCTTTCTTAATGTTACCTTCCTTGCCACAATGAAAACATTTGATCCCCTTTTTCATCTTTGATCGGTTTCGGTCCCCATTTTTGGATTTCCCTCGATTTGTGAGGAGGGCTTTCGAGTTCGATGTTATGAAGGCTTTTCTTCTCACTGCCTCATTCAGCAGACTGTCAGTGACCTGACTTATGGTCACTATCTCATCTGATGTTGAGTTGCTCACAGAGACTACTAGAGTCTCCCAACTATCCGATAGTGAACCGAGACAAAACAAAGCCTGTAGCTCATCTTTTAGGAACAACTTCATTGTTGCGAGTTGGTAAACAATGTTGCGCACCTCATTCAAGTGCTCCACAACAGATTCCCTATCCCTAAACTTCATGTTCACTAACTTCCGGATCAAGAACGCCTTATTTTCGATGGTCTTCCTCTCGTACAAATCATGTAATTTAACCCCCAATGACTTCAAGAATGTCTCCATCAATACATGGTGGAACAAATTTTCTTCCAACCATTATCACATAGTTTTGAGAGCCTTTCAGCCAAGCCTCATTCACTCTTCATGTGTCATATTTTCGGCCTTGTGCTCTACCCCTTCGATGGGTGCGTACAACTCCTGACAGTATAGCGGATCTTCCATCTTTGGCTTCATAATGATCCAGTTATTCCCATTGGGCGATATCATTCTGCTCCCGGTACTAGAATCTATCTATCCTTACACATTGTCTATCCCCCGTGAGTTATGGTAAGTTATCTCTGGATCGTTTCAGTTAACTGCCCCACGATCATGAACTACCCCCCGATCTTGAGTTGCCCGTAGATCTTGAACTGCCGCCCAATCATCAACTACAGCCTGATCATGAACTACCCCTTGATCGTGAACTCGCGCCCAATCATGAACTGCCCCCCGATCGTGAACTCCCACACGATCGTTGTGTCGTCCTATCGTTACTGCCACCCCATTCTTGTGTCGTCCTGCCGCCCAAGGGTTTGTTTATCCCCTAAGCCCAATTATTGAAAGTCAAGTTGGGGAAGAGCTCGGAGTACGACTAAGATTAAAGGAGCGGAATTTTTGTTCTTCCTTACTGGTCCTACAACCGCTAGGTTCGCTATACCGTAAAACAATGATAGAGATAACCAACTAGTGAGGGAAACTTGGCTCTGATACCACTTGTTGGGCTCACCACGTTAGGGCCATCTTGTAGGAATGTGGATGCGAGCAACGAAACTAGGAAATATGGAAAACACAATTATGCTAAAGCCAATGTGTGTGTGTGTATGAGTAAGAAAATATGCAATTAAGCAAATAGAAAAATAATTCCTACTGGCATCGGATTTATGTACTTCACCTTTTCAGGCTACGCTCAGGGGAGATAGTGACAAATCCACTATTAACTCAAAGGTTACAATAGTCTTCTAAGAAACAACCTTTCTTGGGGTCGCCGATTTCATCTAGAGACTTCTTTCTTTAGGATTTCCCTCCATGATCTCCTAGAATTCTTTTCTTTCTAGAGCGGCTTTTTCTCTCTAAAAGAAAATGTTCTCTCTTTCTCTCCTTTTTCTTCCCTTCTCTCTCTTTTCTCTCTCAACAAAAAAAAGTTAAAAGAAGAGGACTGTTGGCTCTCTTTCATCTTCTTCTTATCTCTAAGAAGAATGATAACTTTCTCTCTCTTCTTCTTCTCTCTTTAGAGAATGATAACTCTCTCTCTTATTTACTCTAAGAGAATGATAATTTTCTCTCTTTTTCTTCTTCTCTGCATTAGAAGGGTTACTATATCTCTATCCATCAAGAAGAGTTTGCCCAAAGAATGGCGGCTCAAGAGAGATCCATGCCCAAAATGGCCTAAGAAAGATGGGCTTTGGTCAAACCAACCAAGAATACAATAGCCTCTCACGTGATTTCCATTTGCATAGACTCAAAGGGACAACAATCATATTTGGAAGTCTATCCCATAACCTCCTAAAAGGATGGTCCATCTCTCTCTCCTTTTTAGAAGGAGATAAGAGGAATATCTTTCTATAACAAAAGCTAACACGTGAGATCCTACTCTTATGGAAAGAAGACTTGGTCAACAAGTCACCATTTTCCATATTCCCAAACTTCCCTTCATCAAAAAGACCAATTCCATTGGTGCCCCTCCCTCATGGAATGGGATGCCCAACCCCCTTGAAATGATACGAAGATATGAAAGATATAGTATATTCATGACTCATCATATGGAGGCCCCAATATGCTTTCAGACTCTCAACTCGTTGGTCAGGTAAGTTCCTTTTGGCTAACAATTGATGATAGAAAATGCTAGCTCAATATGAGACAAGTTCTAGGATACATAAAATGATAATTTAATCAATATTTTCTTAAATTTGTTTTAATAAATATTAAGACCGAACTTTTTTTGGACCAAAAACACACTATTTATTCATTTGCTAGCCATTAGTTGTTGGTTTGGGATGAGATGAGATATTTCCCGTGTTCTTTCTTTGGAGAATCTCCTAAAACTCTGAAGACCCTTTTCTCTCAAACACACACCAGTACAAAAATTCACGAGGGAGTGACCAGTTATGCAACGTGCCATGATGGAATAAGTTGCATATTCAAATGTTTGATACAAACCAGGGCAATGTCATCAAACAGGACAAAAGAAAAGCCAACAAAGAGTCCCAGTGTTTGTGGGAATTCCAATCATCCAAGGGCTGACCTTTTAATCTGTAGTGGTTTAACAGCAAAAACGTCAATGAGATCGGCAATGGGAGTGTAGTTGTAGTCTGGGTAAAGATGCGACAGCTCCAAGTCATCCTCTTCCAATTCCAAGTTGGACTGACCTGCAACAAAGAAATAGTGCAGGATAGCCGGTGCCACGTTCTCAGGATGAGGAAGTGCTGCATCATATCAACTCTTCCTTGGTGAACCATAGCAAACAAAAGAACAAAAATAAAAGGGAATAAATCTGAATAAATAAAAATTAATAAAATCTAATTAGCAAATGTTGCAAATGACCACCATGTAAACAACAATGACTTTACTTGAAGCGGATGAATTTATGCCCAAAATTTAAAATAAATGAGGAAAAAAGAGGGTTTGTTTATTTTTTCGTCATAAGAAAGAAAATATCTTTACACTAGAGAGAAAGATAACGCTCAAAACTCATTTCTAACCCAAACCTCCTCCCTGTACATCTATATACACTTCCCTTCCCCTACAAAAATAAAATAATATAAATTAAGAAAAATGAAACTCACTGTTTCAACTTCCCCTACTATTTGGGATCCAAGATAATAGTAAGAGTTCCCAAAGATATGCCATCCTTAAACCCCACCGTAAATTATGTCAAACTCCAACTACCCTTAACTAAAACGTTCCTAAAATCAATCCCAAGTTTTTCTTCCCAAAATAAAACTCTTCAGAAAAAAAAATAAAAAAAAATTAAGAGGGGCGTGAGGGTTGGAAGCTCTAAGAAAATCCTTGATTCCTTAACTACATGACCCCAAATTTAAGCCTTACGAGCAGCCCTTTCTTATCAGAACCAAATCTCTTTCTCCTCGCATCAGCATCAATCCCCATCAATATGGTTACTTCCAAACCTCAATATTAGAACTAATATTACAAGAGAGCACAAAGCATGCCATATCATATGCTTTCTTTTTGCTTTGAATGTTGCATGGCACATCGTATCATGAAAAGCATAGTTAGTGGATTGGTGATAGAGGTCAAAATTGAAACATGATGCAAAATGCATGATGCAGCTGATCTTCACATGCAAAATTATATGTGAACTTGTGGATCCACCATCACAGTCTGTGACCTAGATTGGCTCCACTAGTCCACTCAAAAAGTTCCTAATGCAATATTTTAAGAATGCCAACTTAGATGGGGAATCGTCAAGAACGAACTGGTTCCCCCAAACTACAAGGAACTAGCCGGTATGACACGTCTGGTTCTGGCCAGATCTCTAATTGTCAGAGAATTGGTCAGAATCGGCCCTTGTTTTTTTTATTCTTTTCAAAATTTAATTTTTTAATTACCTCTTGGGTAGACCTGATCCAGAATCCACTGAAACGGATCAAAAATCTGGATGCACGATTTGGGTTACCGATCCATTTTTTAAAGCCATGTTTGGAGCATAACTACTATTGGTGAAAAACTAGTAATAGAGGTTTCTGGCTTGCTTTACATACTCTCAGTGAGTTTAATTATTTGGTCTTCTGAGAGAAAGTTTCTCGTTAGACTCTTTCCACATCTTTTCTCCCACAAAGAGATCAAATCAAGCTGAGAAATGACGTTCTTCGGTGGTTTGCAGATGACAACGCGGTTGAGTGTGCGGATATCATCAACTGCCCTTATTGTGAAAGCAGCAATGTCTTCCTCAAAGGTCATCACAGCTGCAAGTGTCAGATAAATATTGTTGCCTTACAAAAATCTTACAAAAGCTTCTATGTTAAAAACATGTTTCTTAATTTTGATGTTCCTTAATATTAAGGAAAATATAATTATGATGGTCAAATGGCCTAATGAGGTCATTAAATCAACAACTTTATTATCAAAACGATCACTTCTTAAAAATATTTAAATTAGGCACCTCTTAAGAACTTTGATATGGGTTTGCAACCTTGAACATGCGAGGAAATTTTGATAATTTGACTCATTAAAGTTGCTTTAACCATATAACCTCACTTGTTACAAGTTTCAAACCTAGAAAAATGTTTCTTTCATTTGGGCCATTAAGCTGAAAGGGTTGAAGGTACCTAGTCAAGACATGTGAGTATACCTCGTGATTCTGTTATTGGCTGTAAATATTTTGAGTATTAATGGGTTAAGAGAATTGTTGCAGCTTGAGTATTGCTATAGTAATCACTAGTTATTTGTTGTAAACATTTTGAGTATTAATGTGTTAAGAGAATTGTTGCAGCTTGAGTATTGCTGTAGTAATTACTAAGAATTATCGTAAGCCTGTGTGAGAAGGCCGTGTTTTCAGAGGATATAAGCCATATCATCAATCATAAGCCATCTCACAGCATCTGCATAAAATCATATGGGAACTCACTCTTCCCTAGATGGATCCAATGGAAAGAGTTATATGCTTGAACATTGTATTTGGAAGAGTGCATGTCTTGGAGTGTACCTGCAATCTGATAGGATTTGTGGCCTTCCAAAGGCCTTATCCTTTATAAGACCACGTACATTACGATATTTTGATTTGAGGAGAGCTTGATATGGGGATACAAGATTGGGCATGTATTGCATATCTAGTGGTGCCCTATATGGAGCAAATTCCATTTGGTTGGATTGGTTTATAGATGGTCTTCCATTCATGTGACTTTTTAGTGCCATACAACACTCTTATGATTCAACCCGTGGTTTGCGGGTTAGAACAAAGTAGCTTGACGACATTACAATTCTAGAGTTACAAAACCCTAATGTAGCCATGGGTATGTGGGATTTTAGCCATCTTGTGGTATTGTTGAGATTTCTATGGGTTATCTCTTGTTGAGCTCAGAGATTTGCTCGTTGGTGTTGAGCAGAATGCTAATATGTACTATTGAGATTTTTATGGGCCATCTCTCATCGAAGTTCGGTATTTTCTCAATGGTGTAGACTAGAAGGCTAATATACTTTACTACCATGTGTGGACTGTAGAGGTCTGTGAGGTCGACGACCAAGTCATCGATAAACGGTCCTATGATAAATACATATGATAGCCACATATCGGATTGTTAGCAAAATTTGATGAAGCGTGTATAAGATCAAACCCGACTTCAGAGAAGGGGTGTCGTGATGCTGGTGATTGTAGAGCCTAGATTTTTATCCCTTCGCCTTTTAGAGAGATGTACGTCTATTCATTGTTGTATCCATCCTCTCTCTGGTTTCCCATTTTATAGGGAGAAGAAGGTGTAACTGTTGTATTTCTCCAGCGGATCTTTGAGAAATGAACAGGTTCCCTGATCTCCAACGGGTATCTGAAGGGTTATGTTCATATAGATATGACCGTTGGATGAAGGGTTACGTTCATATGGATATGACTGTTGGACTTACGTTCATATGGATATGACTGTTGGATATATGGAATTCCCACAAATGTAGGCCAAGACACGTAAGGCCTCATAGGCATACGTTTCAACATGGATGCCGCACTAATGGGAACGTGTACAAGTGTCATCGAAGAGATTACCCCCTACAGTTATAAGTGTTTGTTTATATCCTTAAATGGATATGACTTGTTGTCACGGAGGCATTTGAAATCCACATTTACACGTAGAGTCTTGACACTTACTACCTAACTTTGGCATATCTGTAGGATTCCAGAGGGAATCCCGTAAGTAATGAAAACATAAAAAACAAATATATCGGATAAAAATCACATAATGTTTTTAGATCTGATTCTTCCCATGCAGCTGATGTGATCTTTTCTGCATGTGTCTCTTCCAGTTCGGGAGTTTCATAAATGCATTCCAACACCGACTACCAATTACTAGAACTAGAACTGTAGTAGTAGTATATATAGCATCAATCACAAGCCTTTGATGGAAGGCCCGAGAGTTCTTATATCACCTATGGCTTCTTCATTTTAGGCTTTAATGCAAAAAAAAAAGGAGAGAAAGATAGAGAGGGGGCCTTTTTGTGATGAGAGAAAACACTAAGTTTTAAGAGGCACATGCATCATATAAACACTATACTAAATATCCCATGAGTGAATCTTATCATACCACTTTTGGATAATATTCCCTCAATTGGAACTTGTTCTTAGTTGAAAATCCCATATCCTAAGGGATTCCCATATCCTTTCACTCTACCACTAATAAGTCTAATAATCCTATAGACATCCTTCTTCTCTATTAGCCACTAAGAATATAAAAAATTTTATGGACATCCCTGCACCTACAAGGGGCACACTCTAAATCTCACATCTCCCACTCGTCCTAAATTGTGTGCACAAAAATATGTTTGATCCTATAATCAGTATCTGGTGATACATCGCAACACAAGAACTCTCTCACACTGTATGGAGGAATACATCTCTACAGAGAACTACATTAATTTTCCATCATACCGATATGGAACACCTCTTCTCTCTTTTTTCAAAAAATGCTCCAGTCTGCCCTCGATTCACATGGGGCACACTAGAATGAGTATCTCAACTAATCCCTCATGAAATATTCTATGCTCAGGAGACTACTCAACCCCTTTCATGTATTCCTAATCAACAAATCTAATGAAAACATCGTTCTTATGCAAGTCAAGAAATTCAGATGTAAAAAATATTATATTATGTTATAATAGTTTTTTGAAAATATTTTGCAAAAGAAAACCCAACATAAAAACCTCATTTCATTGTAGTTGATGAGCATCTTTAGCATACATGTATTCTCTAGGTACCAATCGGAGTGTGATGCCAATGGTCGTCCTGTGGCCCTACTATTATTTTGTTTTGACATGATTGCTTTCCTAGTTGTGCCCCCAACTTGGGCAATGGGAGAGCGAACTAATTAACAAAATCGAATCTCCACTTCTTAATATAATCATTGTGTAAATGAAATGTGACCGGCTATATCTTGATGAAATGTGAGGTGTAACTCGATGGTCAATAAGGGCACTCTACGTCAGTGACCGGCTATATCTCACATGATGTAATAGGGAACATGGATCATCCCATACACCTTTACGTTTATGGTAGTAGACTCGCAAAGCACATGTGGTATGAATCACACGCCATAATGTAAATGATAAAGAATACTAAGATTCACATTGGATTTATGCCATGCTGATCCTAGTTCAGTCGCAACCATGCATCCCGTCACACCCAATGCACCCCTAGGTTCTACAAAAACAACTAAGTTGAGCATCTCAGTTCTTCACACTTAGCTATCATACAGGATGGGTGATCCAATAGGACGATATACTCATATGGATCATGTCATTTCTAGATATGGAATCACATCTCGATCTCATATCGAGATGATGCTCACACACCCTTTATGTGTTTCATCCTCCAATATCCCAGACATTGAGGGTGGTCAACACTGTGGGAGAGACCGGATGAAGCTTGCTGACGATGCACCGAACAACGAACAAGCCTCCTAGTGACTAGTGTGAATGTGTAATAAAAAATACATATTTATGCTATGAACAAATCATAATACCTTAAATATCTAATATAAATGGTAAAGGTCAATCAACAACATACATGTTTGGGAAGCAACAAAAAATGATGATGGTGAAGGAAAATCACTTAGAGACTCCCAAGTCCTCTTGACATGATCCCATACTTCTCTCAAGCTATAAGCTTAGTCATGGGATCTACATGTCATCACTTTCTCTTTCCTCTTAGTGACACATCGCATATAGTGATGCCTAAAAATCTACATGTTATGTCGTATTGTGATACTTTGTATTATTTTATAAAAGCTTGTGCCATCGTGTTATCACCAAAACACGATCACATATACTCCAACACTCATTATAATCCCTCATTTTTCAGGTTCCTCATGAGCGGTATGCTCTCCAATTATGCTATACATCAATATGAATACTTTGTTTCTATATTAGACATGTCAGTCATGTCATCTGACTTATTGTACCAAGAAAATGCTCCCACTCCTGGAGTGGAGAATTATCTGATGTCAACCATCAATAATCCAGTTCACCATCGAAATAGGTTTACTCCATCCTCATAGTGGGGATTATTTCTAAAAAGATAAATGGGTAGTCTATGGTTCTCTAAGGATATCAGAGTGTCCAACTTACAATCTGCCAAAATTCTGGACTTACATTGCTCTAAGAGCGACTTAACATGCACTATGGCACATCCCGTCACATTCACAACATGACGTTCATAAGACTGCCTACTATGCTCACACGTGATACACAAATCCTCTTTTTATCATATATCACTCCCAATCAAATTTTCAATAGGGTACGATTCCTTCTCTTACATCATCATGTTACTACAAAGTACATCATGTCATTTCCTACTAACGAATCCCATGATCATGAGAGAATCATCCCAGTCAATTCAATTGTGTACTCTCGACCCTTCTTAGTTATGACAATCTTAATTCTCCACCCTGATTGGTTCTCAACCTCCAACTTAAATTCATTGAAGTAATAAGCAGCCTCTAACTGAAGTGAGATAAGCATACTTATTAATGGTACAATTATTGATATTGGGCTTTATCACAGAGCCTCCATCTAAGGGACCTAAACAAAAGTCCAAATAACTTCTAAAGGTTCTTATGATCTTTGTATCTTATGAATGGGATTTTATACCAAATATTACCATTAAAGAAGTTTATGGAGTGGGAAGGTACAATTATATTAACAATCCATTTGTGAGAAACCCAATAAGAGCAAGTAATAACGTACATATCTTTCCTTGAACACTATC